GTCCCTAATAGGCCAAAAGTGCTGCAATGGCTCCATGCCTCGAATGAAGAAATCGTGATAGCGAGACCTTACATACAAGGTCATAGAATCACATGCCATGATGTATTTTTCACTTACAGACCATGCCCATCCTTCTATATAAATTTTGTACCTGTAAAAACCAAATCTCTATGCATAAACAAAGAAAACAAAGGAAATTTTGAATTTGTAAAATGTAATTTCAAAAACAAGAACAAAAAAAATTGCAAAAACTACCTGTGCTTGCACTGGTTTTCTAGGTTTGAATCCTTGTACCCTTGTTTAGATTCTTGCTCCCAATTCTGGAAATAGAAGATCAAAACATTGCACAAATGAATGCATAAAAAGATTGCATTCTATACATAATAATAGTTAGAGAAGTTGATGCACCTGAATATATAGGCGTGTGTTCCAGTCATTTTTGTCCGAGACATTGCATTTGAGAAGGTCCTTTCTGGTTGGAGCCACATTTGGGTTACCTTTCCAGTAAGCATAGGGCACCCTGTCTTCCCACTTTGTTCTTTTATTGCCTTCTTTTATGCTTTGCAATAGGCTTCTCCATGGTTTTATATTGATCTCAGCCCTACCAATTAAAATTAGCCCGTCTACAAATTTCATTAATAAAATTAATTTCTCTTCTAAAATCTCTTCTTTTTTTTTGGTCACCCAATTCAAATGTTTGGCCCAAAGTTGGTGGAGATGAAAAGAGTTTTGGGCCACACATCTCATACAAACAATTTACGGGCCAGAGTTTTTAATTCTTTGCTTTTCAAATGGGCTAGAAATTGGGAATTGATAGAACCCGAATTCATATGTAACACATGGTTCATAAAGTAAACAAACAAACAAAAACAAAGGGCATTTCACATGCAAACATAACATATATGAGTAAGAGAGAAGCAAATATTTACCAGCCCCAAAAAGACCAATCTGGGAACACAATATCCAAGCTTCCCTCATCCGCGCAGTATCGAAACAACGGTGGCGGGCCAAGATTCGGGCCCTGAAAGTCCTTTGATCGGACGACGGGCCGATCATCACAGTCAAACATGAGTTCCAAGTCAGGCAATCTACTAGGGTACACCCTTAGAAGCTGCAAAATGCCCCATAACGTAAACATATCCCTAGTTTCTATGGATTGTCTATACTTCTCTATGTAAGCCTTGTCGTCCACGATCAAGAGCCTAAAATGTGCAGTCCTGCGGGCCTGCTCTATCATGTCCCTCGTGATTCCCGTATCTTTCCACGGTCGTAGATCTTCGTGGATCCATCGAAAGTATGATGGGCATGTGAGATTGGATGGACGGATAGGATTTGCGAGGTCGTGTGTGGTAGGGTAGGTTCTTGGACAACCTTGTGGCACATTAATTCCTTCGGTACACTGCAGAGGGAATTCAAGTCTCTTGGGTGTGCTTGTGTTTGTAGTTGTTGTGATTGATTTCTTAGAATAAGCGCCTGAAAATATAAACTAAGAGAGAAAAACATGAATTGTATACGTTAGTATCAAAGGAAAGATTTTGATACAAAGAACTTTTCTAAGCAATGAAAAGATCTATATGACTTGTATTTCAATAAATTTTCTTTGTATTCCTTTTCTGATAACTAATACTTCGTTTCTTAGTAATATCAGTTTAGTATACACATTCTTAGGCAATTCTCACTTAATTAGTTGCTCACATACCCCATATTTGTCACGAAAATTTGACTCTCGCTCTCCCTCGTATTTAATGCAGGCATGCTCTCCTTCAAGCTAAAACAAAACAATTTGACCACCGATCTAATAGAGGTGGAACTAAGAGACATAAGTTTCACCTTAGTTAGAGAGATCGTGAACAAGGTGACTGGTAAGCCCCATTCAAATATTTCTAGTTTTTGAAATCTTGGTCCTATTAGTTTTACTCTAAGAAAAACAAAACAAAACACACACACAAAAACACTATGACAGAAGATAGAATGCCTATGTTATTTCGTTATATATAGCTAGCACGATTGGATTTCATGGAACTTACAGCATCGATCCAGCCTCCAGATACCAACGCAGCAACAAAGAAGATCAACAACAATAACAAGAAGATTAGAGTAGTTGTTGCAGTTATCTTCTTCAATGGCCTCCAACTTTTCATGTTTATGCTTCAAAGCTCTCTTCCAAGAGACCTTGAGATGAGATAGCCCTGCTGTCCTGTCCTGTAATACTTTCTATGCTGTATACTCAGTCTCTGTGGACTTCAACCAAACGTCCTGTAATGCTTTCTATGCTGTATACTCAGTCAATATTGACGAAAGCGATCAAAATTTTCTTCTCTAGATTTCCTAGTCTTTTTAAACCAAGTGGAAGGATAAGGCACTAAGTAAGGCCGCTCTGGTTGACCTGCTTGGACAATTTGCGCTAGTTTCGAGTTTGGGAGGTGCGCTCATAATCAGACTCACCGGCATATGGAACCCACATCATTTTCGTGAGTTATTGCTAATGGGTGAAACTTCTGTACAGTCTAGATAGGGGGGGACCGAGGATGAGATTAGGCTCACGGCCACAAAAATTGCCGTATGGTACGGATTATTTGCATAGTAAGTCAACGGATTGAGTTCTTATGACTTATGAAGTTCAGAGTAAGTAGTACGTAACCGGCAAAATAATCCATTGAGTAAAGCATGTGCAAGCAGGCCACAGATATTACGTAAATGCAGTGTGCAAAATTCCTTGCTTCCTTTGCTTCCCCCCATAGGAAATCATAATTGGAGACAAAGAACCAATCTTCTGGGTGCGCATTATTAATCCCAGAATTCATGTCCCTCATGATTCCCGTCTTTTTCCATGGCCGTAGATCTTCGTGGATCCATCGGAAGTATGATGGGCATGTGAGATTGGATGGACGGCTAGGATTTGTTGGGTCGTGTGTGGTAGGGTAAGTTCTTGGACAAGCTTGTGTCACATTAATTCCTTTGGTACACTGCAGTGAGAATTTAGGTCTCTTGGGTGTGCTTGTGTTTGTGGTTGGTGTGATTGATTTCTTAAAATAAGCGCCTGAAAATATAAACTAAGAGAGAAAAACATGAATTGTATACGTTAGTATCAAAGGAAAGATTTTGATACAAAGAACTTTTCTAAGCAATGAAAAGATCTATATGACTTGTATTTCAATAAATTTTCTTTGTATTCCTTTTCTGATAACTAATACTTCGTTTCTTAGTAATATCAGTTTAGTATACACATTCTTAGGCAATTCTCACTTAATTAGTTGCTCACATACCCCATATTTGTCACGAAAATTTGACTCTCGCTCTCCCTCGTATTTAATGCAGGCATGCTCTCCTTCAAGCTAAAACAAAACAATTTGACCACCGATCTAATAGAGGTGGAACTAAGAGACATAAGTTTCACCTTAGTTAGAGAGATCGTGAACAAGGTGACTGGTAAGCCCCATTCAAATATTTCTAGTTTTTGAAATCTTGGTCCTATTAGTTTTACTCTAAGAAAAACAAAACAAAACACACACACAAAAACACTATGACAGAAGATAGAATGCCTATGTTATTTCGTTATATATAGCTAGCACGATTGGATTTCATGGAACTTACAGCATCGATCCAGCCTCCAGATACCAACGCAGCAACAAAGAAGATCAACAACAATAACAAGAAGATTAGAGTAGTTGTTGCAGTTATCTTCTTCAATGGCCTCCAACTTTTCATGTTTATGCTTCAAAGCTCTCTTCCAAGAGACCTTGAGATGAGATAGCCCTGCTGTCCTGTCCTGTAATACTTTCTATGCTGTATACTCAGTCTCTGTGGACTTCAACCAAACGTCCTGTAATGCTTTCTATGCTGTATACTCAGTCAATATTGACGAAAGCGATCAAAATTTTCTTCTCTAGATTTCCTAGTCTTTTTAAACCAAGTGGAAGGATAAGGCACTAAGTAAGGCCGCTCTGGTTGACCTGCTTGGACAATTTGCGCTAGTTTCGAGTTTGGGAGGTGCGCTCATAATCAGACTCACCGGCATATGGAACCCACATCATTTTCGTGAGTTATTGCTAATGGGTGAAACTTCTGTACAGTCTAGATAGGGGGGGACCGAGGATGAGATTAGGCTCACGGCCACAAAAATTGCCGTATGGTACGGATTATTTGCATAGTAAGTCAACGGATTGAGTTCTTATGACTTATGAAGTTCAGAGTAAGTAGTACGTAACCGGCAAAATAATCCATTGAGTAAAGCATGTGCAAGCAGGCCACAGATATTACGTAAATGCAGTGTGCAAAATTCCTTGCTTCCTTTGCTTCCCCCCATAGGAAATCATAATTGGAGACAAAGAACCAATCTTCTGGGTGCGCATTATTAATCCCAGAATTCAGAATAATATATCATTAATCAATATTAACAACCCAATGCAGGCAAAGAAAAATATATTTACTGATTCAAGCTCTCCATAATATTTGTATCGTTCGTCTAACTTTTCTTGTATGTTCAAATAACCATCCTAATAACACTTCCACTTGAAGTTTTCCCATCAACAACATCAGTTAAAACCAGAGGATCAAACCTTCATACAGGGTGGCACTAAAAGTTTGCTCATGAAAAAAGCCGTGCAGCTGCTGCTAGTTAGCAAACTGAACCGAACCATTAACTGTGAATCTTCTACCAACTTGTTTCATGAAGAGATGATATGCTGAAAGGTGCATTTTAAAGCATTGACAGCCGACAGGTGAAGCAATGCACGTTCCCTTGGTAGACCAACACAAACCCTTCCCTTTATATTATATCCTTGAAGCTGGTGGAACTGTCCTTGTTGAACCACATTGATATACTGAAAAGCTCCAAATAATTAGTGCAAAGGATTACTCGATTACCATATTAATTTCACAATGAAGATCATAATATGCAGAGACCAGAGTATTCACTCTGAGTATCCACTGTCCTCACTATATCATGGCAGAGAATGCCTCAAAATGTCTTCATTTTAGAATTTTTAAGGTTAAATTGAATTCCTGCGCCATTTCCTGCATAAGGTAACCAGGTGAAATTAGCTAATAGATGAAAAGTCATATCCAGTTGACACCTTGCTACTAGTTAATTAAAAACCAGTAGTTACATAACTAATCCATAAATTTTGTACAGATATCTGATACTACACAAGACACTGCTTGTACTAAAAAAAATGCAACGAAAAAGCTTTCATTTACACATAAACCACAATCCCTACACATAGTTTTGAAGTACTTTTTGTCAATCAAAGCACAAAGACCTCTAATACTTCCAAAATATAAACCACTTGCACAACTTAGCGGGTGCATAATTTACTGTCTTGAACTCTAGTCATCACATTGTAAACCAAATCCCAAAATTACCTTATTAGCTAGATAAATAGAATTTGACCAAAAGTTGTCAGCAAAATCAGTATCTATAATATTGACTACCTTGATTTCTCGATACGAAATCTGATTGACTGGGATTTTGGCAGGGCATTCAAGTCTTAGGGACAAGAAAATCTGCAACAGCCGCTTTATGTCAAACAATATGACAAAATTGTAATAAAATACATTTCTAAATAAAAGTTGGAGCATACTTATCAACCTTCTCTAATGCAATATCAGAGTATACACTTCACAGACCTGGTTCAATTGAAAGGGACTCATTAGCTCATTTGACAATGGTAGAATGCAATCATGCAGCGCTTGTTTCAAGCGATCAACCACAAGAACCATTTCAGAGCCGTGAGGTGATTCTCCAACAGTAATGGAAGAAAGGTAAACAGGTTGCAGAAAGAATGAAAGCAGAGCTCCTGAAATAAGAATATGTATGACCTCATCAACTAACTTATAACTAGTAATGCCACGTAACCAAGTACGGCCAATATAATCATGAAGATTAGTCAAACTGGCTCAGTCTAG